AGTGTTAATTTCGATTTGGAAATGTAACGCTGTAATAAAGTGTATTGATTTTAAACACAAAAGTGGTTTATTCTCGTCAACTTTGATTGGTCATTCTATGCTATCAGTACAATAAACTTGCTTCTACATTTTTTCATATTTACCTATGTAGACAGATGAGCTATAAAGAATTCCAAAAGGTTACAAGTAATGTTTTAAAATCGGAAAAGACCTTCTGCTTTCCCGATTGTCTGCGTGTTATCATCTCAGAAATTGTTTGATATATCTTTTCGAAACTGTTATAAAAGAGTCTCTTAGGAACGTGTCCTTATTAATAGGAAATGCCGAGTGTTTGATATCGTTCTGAATCTCTTCGATAGCACCCCAGTGCCATCTAATGCGCATGTCTGTAAATACCTTGTGTCCACTTGCATTGTCGCCCCATTTTTCAGTAGCAATTCAGTCTGCTTCAATACAAGTCGTGGTTCTCTTTCAACAAAAACGTAAGTAACATCTGCTCTCCACACCCAACCCAGAACAATTCAAAAGAAACTCCTTTCTAAATATCTCAATAAGAAGAACATGGAATGATATAATAGAATCTGTAAGACTGTCAAAGTAGAGAACGATACAAAATTTGACATATTTTAAGCAAAATGTAAGAGATAGCATTGCTATCAACATAAAGCAATGATGAAGAACAATATCATGTATAATTAATATTCTATGAGTCAACATATCTACGTAAAATAAAAAAAATATCATCAGTTAGGGCAATAGAATTTTTTTTAAAAAAACCCTCAGTTTTAATCGTGTTGAGGTTTTTCATTGGCGTCAGGTATCTCTCGCTCTATCGAGTTTTGTGAAAGTCGCCATTATTGATCAGCAGGTTATTAGTGCGAACATAACGCGAGTATCCACACGTAAATAATTAATCACACAGATACAGATTATTTGTCTTTTTCCGGAGGCAACCTTAATTTGGTTCTGTGTCATGACTGTGAAAACAATATTGATTTTTAATAACTAAATACTCCTATGCCACTACTCATGTTACATTAAATATTACAATATTTATAAAACAAACTTCTCAAGGTCACGTAATGTTGCATCGATAGTGATGGTGGTTTAAGGCTTTGACCGGGATGTTCTTTTGTTAAATCTTATGTGGTACCGCCTGATTCGACTTCTAATGGTTAAGTGAAGTGTTTTCTTCGCGGTACGGTCTGGATTCGTAAATATTATGAAGACGAGCTTCGGCTTCAAAGGGTTAACCAGCTGATTTTCGTAATGGTGAGGTGTAGTGTTTTCTTCGCGGTACGGACTGAATTCATAAATAATATTCAGACGATCTTCGGCTTCAACTAGGTCGGATGATGGCTGGGGTAAAACCCCTCCAGGAATGGAACAAATCAGCATCAAATCCCTGAGAATTCTTCAGCGCGAAGTACAGATTAGATAATCAGTTCAGAAGAACGTGAGATGGATGGGACGTTGAGGATCTGTTGAGTAGCCCACAAAACTTTTTCTTGTGGGGTTGCTTGGAGGACGCGGTGTACAACACAAAGCCATCAACACTAACAGAGCTCCGACAAGAAATTTAATGGTCTTACGCAGGCGTACCAACTGTAAATTTGGTCGCCGCTTGTCAGTCAGCTGTTCGCAGCTGTCAGCTGCGCCACTAAGCTAACAGTGGTCATTTTGAACACTTACACTAGATTAGCTAATTCATTAAGTGCCAATGCTGACGTATGTAATGGTTTAGTTTATTGAAATGTATTTATTTAATTTATTGAATATGTGTATACATCGCTAGGAACAGTAAGTTCTTTATGAATGAGAGGAATTATAATGCTACACTTACACAAGATAAGTAGATTATCATGGGATTTCATTTCTTATTCACGATATGGCCTTGTCGCATTGTGTAAATCGTGCTTTAATGTAGACACAAATCTTACGTATTGAAAAAAAGTTTAAATTTTTTTTTTAGATTTACAAACAAATCTACTTTCTTACAAGTTTAGTTTAATTAAAAAAACGAGCAAGAAAATGTGTTAGAATACTTTTGTGCTGAAATGTTAAAGAGAACGTTTCATATAAAAATAGATAATCTAGAAATAAATCAATGTTACGAAAACTTTTGTATCCTTTGTCCCCCACAGACTGACCTTGAACCTGTCTTTCCTCTTACCGTCGTAGTCCCCTCATGGCATTCAAAATATATGTGTGTATACTTTTAAAAAAAATGGCGTAATGATTAATTTGCTATTGTACTTCTGCGTGTGTGACTCTCTGACTTTATTATTCCTGAACTTTGTGCTAATGTTACTTGGTTCAGTCACGAAACTTATTGTTCGGGATTATACCTCAATTATCGATAAAGTGATTTGGTTTCAAACGATATTTTTCGAGATTAGTCCCATTAAAAATGTTATTATTTTGGTGTGAGAATGTAGAATAGATAATGTCTTAACAGTTGGCGTATATGAAGTGTAATTTGTATTTGTACACAATAGATTACGTCCGATAAAGTGCAGAAGTTATTATTACGCTCAATAGCTCTTAGTGCTGACGTCCGATACCAGATTTCAACGAAGTTGGTTTAAGATTTTATGACGTAGCGTGCCCTTCCGCGGACCCTGAATCATTACGAGTCAACAACCCCAGGGCAAAATATTAAGGAAGTGTTACGTGTGGACCAACAGACAAAAACTGTGCGTGCCTCGAAATAGGTTCCTCTGTGCTCATCCTGTATACGTTACACGAACCTCGGTTTCATCTTCTGATAATCACGCTTCATACATAACTTAACTGTAAAGCCTTCCAGTATAGACTTCCTCTCGGAGTTGAGGGAAAACAGATGTCTGCTGGTTTATGCGAGGGGAACTTTTGTTTTCATGAAACAGGATTTGAGCTGTTCTAGGGTGGGCGATGGGTCGTTGAAATTCATCGGACTCATTCGCAAGGACCCTGGGTCGATTCCCAGTATCATATTTCTTCAAAAGGTAAATGCCAACGCGTAACTTTAAAACTTTATCCATGATTTATCTCGACTAACCAATCGTTCATGATCATTACTCATCAATACTTCGTTTGTTGATTGTCATCTTGTGATGATTTTTTGCTTTCCTAAGTATTGAGAGAGCCACGGTGGTCTAGCGGTTAGAACGCTGGGCTAGTAATCCTGGGGACTCGGGTTCGATTCCCGGCGGTGCCCGAATTTATAACTTGTGTTGGGCAAGGCCGTGGTCTAGGCAACACGGAGTTTTCCTCCGGGGGCTTCCGCGGTTTCTCCGTGGCATCCCAACAATTACTCCATTCACACACAGAAGAAGGCAATGGCAAACCACTTCTGGATCATCTGCCAAGAACGTATATGAACAGGTCCCAGTCCGAGAAAAGGATGGAAGGATCCTGTTCATATGGACCTGTCGAAAAAAAATACTCATTATGGAGGCGGTAGGTTCCTCTGCAACGTCGGTAAACGTCTACCAGACTACACGGCGCAACAGCTCGGACTCACCGCTGTGGAAACCTCAAACTCAATAAAGTCATACAAAAAGTTTGAAGAAAATTCTTTGGCAGTTTTTCAAATGTAGGCGCCTCGGAACATCAACAGATAGAAATCAGGTTTACGATAAAATTATGAGAAAAATAAGCCTGTAAGTATTTGTTATTGTTTATACAATTTTACGTCTTTAATTTCTTTTCCAAGGCAGTGGAAACCCAGAATATACACACAATTTTGTAATCTTTTTTACGTATAGGTGTATAACGTGGTATATCATAGATACCACATGAATTGAGTGTCTGAAAACAAAGTTATCAGAAACTCATTTTGTGGGGCTGAAGTAACTG